ATAATTGTGAAAATATTAAAATGCTGAAAATGGTGCTTATAAATTCAATGAAATTTCCTTATCCTTGAACCGTTGTCTGGATGGCACCGCACCGATTAGTGCGCAAACAGACGCAGCCATCGGAAATGCGAAGCTAAACCTAAAAACTGTAATCAGAGAAAGAAAGACGTCATATTCATCATCGAGAGACCAATTTACATTACACTCAAGATTAGGTCAAACCAGGGTTTTAAATTGAGGTCCGCACTCACAATTGTGACCGCAATATTATTGTTGTGGTATTTATCGCAATTATAACGGCTTGCAATTCAATTGTGGTATAATTACAATAAATCGGTAACTATTTTATTTTATTTTATTTTGTCAAGAAACACACATACCCTTTGAAATATATAGAAAGGAATGAAAGATCTACTTACTTAAAAAAAAAAAAAAAAGTCTTTGATATGTTTACTTTACTTAATAAATTATATTTTATATTAAATTTTAATTGTTTAATTGTTGAATTAAAAGTTTTTAATACGTAAATTAAGTTTATAAAAAAAATTAAAAGTTAAAAATTATATGATACTTTATTATATAAATTCAAATCAACGTATAAAAAGTTTTTATGATTATTTATCAATTTGAATTAATAAAATAAAGTATTAAATAATTTTTAATTTTTTTAAAATTTTATATACTTAATCTATTTATTAAGAATTTTATTTAATTTAATGATTGGTTCATTCAAAATTGATTTAGAACAGAATATTAATGAAGTAAGTGTATCAAAACTTATTTTTGGAGTAAGTATTGATAAACTTACTTCATTCATTAATTCATATTCTACATCAAGCTTCAATGATGCAATTGTTAAATTAAAAATTCTTAATATATAGATCAAGTTTACAAACTTTAAAAAATTTAAAAATCATATAATACTTTATTATATAAATTCAAATCAATGTATAAAATGATTTTATTATTATCCATTGATTTGAATTAATTAAATGAATTATCAAATATTTTCATTTTTTTTAAATTTTTAGATTTAATTTATACCTTGAGAACTTTTAATTCAATGCTTACTTAAAAAAAAAAAAAAAAGTCTTTGATATGTTTACTTTACTTAATAAATTATATTTTATATTAAATTTTAATTGTTTAATTGTTGAATTAAAAGTTTTTAATACGTAAATTAAGTTTATAAAAAAAATTAAAAGTTAAAAATTATATGATACTTTATTATATAAATTCAAATCAACGTATAAAAAGTTTTTATGATTATTTATCAATTTGAATTAATAAAATAAAGTATTAAATAATTTTTAATTTTTTTAAAATTTTATATACTTAATCTATTTATTAAGAATTTTATTTAATTTAATGATTGGTTCATTCAAAATTGATTTAGAACAGAATATTAATGAAGTAAGTGTATCAAAACTTATTTTTGGAGTAAGTATTGATAAACTTACTTCATTCATTAATTCATATTCTACATCAAGCTTCAATGATGCAATTGTTAAATTAAAAATTCTTAATATATAGATCAAGTTTACAAACTTTAAAAAATTTAAAAATCATATAATACTTTATTATATAAATTCAAATCAATGTATAAAATGATTTTATTATTATCCATTGATTTGAATTAATTAAATGAATTATCAAATATTTTCATTTTTTTTAAATTTTTAGATTTAATTTATACCTTGAGAACTTTTAATTCAATGATTGAATTGTTAAAATTTGATTTTGAATATGAGATATTGAGTGTGAAGTAAGTCTTAATAATGTGAGTTAAGAGTCTAATTCAACTTTATAAAATTGACTTATAAAATAATATTTACTTTCCACTCATACATATTATTATGGCGTCATCTTTAGTTCATGTGAGATCTCCGACACATATTCTTGATGTTGAAGATTGGACATATGCGAGTGATTTGATAATTGCTTAGTAGTGAGTAGCTTGACAAGCCCAACAATATATCTTTATGATAAGCTATGATATACTTTATTACTATCTTAAGAAAGTGGGTTAAAAGTCTAACTTCAACCTTACAAAATCAATTTGTAAAGTGAGGTTTAATCCCTACTAATATACATTCTTATGGCCTCATCTACAATTGATGTAGAATCTTTAATAGTAAATTTATTTATTTACTCTTGAAGTATGTGAATCTCTTTATATCAGTCTATATAGACTTACTTCGTTAACAACTTATGTTTTATATCAAATCTCAATGATCTAACTTTTGGACTTAAAGTTCTTAATACATAGATCATGTTTGTAAATATTTAAAAATTTTAAAATTTATTTGATATTTCGTTTCATTAATTTTAATTGACAAATAATTATAAAAATATTTTATACGTTAATTTAAATTAATAAAATGAAGTATCAAATAATTTTCAATTTTTTTTAAATATATTATTAAGTAAAAAAAATTTACGTAAATTTATTCCTAAAATAAACAACTCAAAGAATCGAGATGTAAAATATTACATTGAGTACACACATTAAGGAAAAAAAAGGAAAAAACAAGATGTAAAATACAGAAATTTAATGAATTGTTCGGCTCTACCCACTTTGCTTGTATCGAGGAAAGGGATTCATGTGAAGCGGTGGATTTACTGCATGACAATTGTTATGTGTGTGGATGTGTAACAGTCTGAATAATCTTACAAGTTGATATATATAATGGATAAGAAGATCTTTTCACGAGCGAGTTGTTATAGTTTATATGTTCGGTGTCATCCAAAGGCATGGCTGCACATATATGAGATGGTCATCGATCATGTTATTCATGAGTGACTCGCACGAAATCAATTTTTTTCTAAGAACTTCAAATTAAGAACTTTATGATTATTAATAGGGGCTATTGTGTATTGTTGTCCAACATTTCACTAATTAATTAGATGTTAATTTATAATATAAAAGAATTTGTTACTTAACATAAAAATATATATAAAAAAAATTCTCATGCTGAAACACATAATATATTAACACAAATTTGTCACTAAAAATATATTATTTTTACTTATATTATAAATATAATATATATTAATATATTATTAAAAGTGTAAATATAGATTAAAATAACATATAATCTATATTGTTAAATATTATATATATATATATATTAATCTATAAGAACACTTTTTATTTCACTATGTATGTAATATTATATTTTTTTGTGATCTTAATTTTAAGATTTGAAAAATATTTTAAATTAAATGAATGATATCGTTACTTTTCTAATGTAAGATTATTAATTTTTTAATTTTTTTAAAATTATTCTACTATTTTAATTTAAAATAATAAATTTATTTGGAGGAAAAGTTATTTTTAGTTCAATTATATAAAAAGTGATATATTTATTGTTGTAATTGATTTAAATATTAAAAAAAATTAAACTGCAGTTATTATATGATAAATAAATGTTGCTTATTTTATTTTTTAAAACAAATTAATGAATATTATAAAAAATCTGCATTTTCATTACATGACAAAGAAAATTTTAAAACTTTTTCGTGAACGATTATTAAGTTATATATTGTGTTTGGAAAAAAAATTATATAATTTCAAATAGTCAACTAATTATTAGGGAAAAAGATTTTATTAAAGGTGTTTGATTAAGGGAAATTTTTTGGGAAAAAAAGTAGGGAGTTGCTACGGTACTCTCAAAAATTGAGGAGTTTCAATACATTTATCTATGTAAATTCATAAAAAAAATTAAAAAAATTAATTTAATTATAAAATAAATAATCTAAATTATACTTATAAAATAAAAAGTAAGATAAAATTATAAAAATTAAAATTATAAGATTTTAAAAATTATTAAAATTAAAATATAAAAATTCAAAAAATTTAAGTGAAAAGATAAAAATATACTTAAAAAATTATTAAAATTAAACTATTTAAATATATAATAATATTATTACAAATAAATTAGAATATATAAAATAAAAATAAAATGACTAAATAATTTAAAAATTGAAAAAATAAAATATGATAAATGACTTGGATGTGAATTTTAAATAATTAAAAAAATTATAAATGACTTGGATTTACACGTAAGTGACACATCATCATCAACAGTACCGGTACCCTTCTTTTATAGAGGGTACCGTAGAAATTCTCAAAAAAGTATTAGTTTATATTGTGTTTGACAAAATTTTCCAAAGAAATAAGTTAATTCAAGGATAAAGTCAAAAGTTAATAACTAATCGAAAAAATTAATTTGGTAAAACTAACTCTTAAACTAACTAATAACTATTAACTAACATAAATCGACATATTTTATTACTTATCCATAACTTAAAATTAATATGGTAAGCGCGCGCATATATATATATA